TAAGTTTTAACAGGTACAGCTTTATGTTGTTCTATATCAACTTTCAAGCTACAACACTTCTAATGTTACCAAACATACTTTTGGAGAAAAAATACATTTGGCTCGAAAGTCACAAATATTCCTATTCTGGCCACCATCTCCTAATAGATACAATTTCTTTAAGACTTCAACAAATCATTATTTAACTTACAGTTAGCGGACCAAGAGACAATGAAAGCGGGACATGCCCATCACCTAAACAAAGAGAATTACCTGTTAGCTAATCTATAATGCATCATATCTTGTACATATTAATATTTATATATATGAACTAGAAATATGTACTCCATATACCATAATTTTCAACCAGGTACTTTATGATCTCATCTGATTCATACATTGCAACCCCAGTGTTCGGATCAACCTTAAGCACAAAAGTTACAAAAAATAATATTTCAAATATTTGTTTAATTATATAAGAAAACTGTGTGATAAGGACATTGTGTTAGTGTAATTATATACTGTGAGTTACCATATAAGGAAACTGTTGTTTTCCTCCCATTTGAGCCACCTTAGGACGGAAATTTTGGCCATTTCTTGGGCAAGGATAGAACAAAACATCAAGATCCAAAATTGCCACAATTTCCCTAACCTGTACATTATTTGTGGGTAACAGACAAGGAACTATGTTATTATGTTTCTCGTTTGGAAAAGAGAGAATAATACTTAATGTGGAGTACTATGGTAAGGTCCTATAAAATTAAGGAATACTGATAGTATATGGCACAATATATAAATCAATAAGCAAAGCCTAAGCCTAGTTATAGTTACATAAGGGCAAGTGGGCTATATTGGTAAGGAGTATCATTCTTGTCTATGAGGCAAATCAATGTTGAAAGTCAAACCAACAAAATAACATTGCATGTGAGTGTTTAACCCTGTGTGGCAGTGCCTACTCTGTCTAAAAGTGGATCATTCTAGGGAAACCAAAGTGAGCAGTTAGGCCAATATTTAGATCAGTTGAAACAAGCATTTATATTTCATGACAAATAAAAGTGAAATCAATCACATTTAAAAAGATCATAGTGTGATATGAACTATACACTAAAACATAATGAAATAAATGCCTTTTTCAAATTATTTAATGTCGGGAGAAATTCTGAGATAAATTTTGAAATAAAAAGATGGGCATGTTGTGCAATGCTCCCAATGACATATAGTTACACATAATAGATCCATAAAAGTATAAAAATGTTTAGTGTTACCTTCCGACAAAAGGGACAGCTGAAGAGGTCACCGTGTAATCCATCACAGGAACATTAGTATGCAGCAAAAGGTGATCAAGTAAGTAACAAAAGAGATTCATATAAAGAAATACGAAGGGGAAACGATATATGGTACTCAGTATGAACTAAAAACTAAATATGACAATGATTGTTAATTTTGAATTAATTGTAAGTGTAGCACAATCAAAGAAACCTTTCATATTCATATATCTCAATTGGCTTCTCAGGGCGAGGACCCAATTTTGAAGTCTCTTTCACCTTGAAGCCTGTTAAATAAACTTCCAACATCAGTGACAACCAACTTACATGTGTAAGTTGACTTAGATTGTTGCAAATAGACAAGTAATAACTGCATATAAATAACTGCATAAATTTTCTTAAACCCTTTTCAGCCCCCAAAAAAGTGATGAAAATTAATCTCAAATAAGCAGTATCAGTTGAGAATTGAGATGTTGTTATGATAAGGAGTAACAACCAGCAATTTCAAGTGCATAGTGGTCAGATGGGATCTCATCCTTGTCAACAAATGAGGCTGAATATCTGCATGGTTGAAGAAATGAAGATTACAAAAAAAAAACTCCATTATCTGTACCACTGGTGAAATAAATGATACAAAAAAGCCATGTAAGCCCGTTCAATGCCTTACAAGTTAATACATGCTCACATTTCATCACACAAAAAGAGTAGCCCCTCAGTTTAAAAATCTTCACAGATGAACACTCTTTCACAACTAGTGAATTGAAACATTGGTTACCCCAAACTGTCAACATGGCAGGACTAAGTTTAACCAGAGGCCGTCAATTAATCAGATGGCATTGCACTCTAAACCCCAGGCTTTTGTCTATGTATGAGCTAGCACTTTCCATTTCCATATATAAATACTCCCTCAATGTGGATTTAGTGTTGGGAGTCATATGTTGGGTTCTGTCCCACACCAGCAAAATAAATTAAATACTTCTCCCATATAAAGAAAGGTGAAGCATTGCCCATTAGCTTAAGTTTTGGTTAGAAACTCAATCCGGACTTTATATGGAAAAGTGGTCAATCTCACCTGGTACTCGACCGGATTTACTCGGCCCACCAAAAATCCAACATGGTATCAGAGCTAAGGTCAGTTAATGTTTGATTAATCCTGGTATCACCTTCTAGGTGAGCTATAAAGAGAATGAGATGCTAGACTCACTCATCCAAGTCGTAACTAGCCCAAGCTAGTTACCTCTTGAGAGGGGTGTTGGGAGTGGTGTGTTGGGTTCTATCCCACACCCGCTGGATAAATTAAATACTACCTCATATAAAGGAAGGTGAAGCACTCACTACCCATTAGCTTAAGCTTTTTGTTAGAAAGTGGATCCAGACCATATATAAAAAAAAAAGTGATCAATCTCACACGACCATCCACCTGATTCACTTGACCCACCAAAAATCCAACATTTAGTTGTCAATTATTTTCCTTTTGAACTTCAGGATTTAGTTGTCTACATGCCATATTTGGCAAATAAACAAAATTATACTCCCTTTGTCCTCCATAGATCTATTCACAAGACTGGACTCACTTTGTTCGCTTATTTTTACCACTCATTTTATAAAATAATATAGTCTTCGTCATCTCTCGTTTTCTAGAACTTTTCATGTAATTCTTTAATATATAAATTTTATTTTTATAATTTTGCACTTAAATCAAATACATTGAACTGAAAATAAAGTAGGTCAAGCCTCGTAACCCATAATTGAAAAGATCTAGCGGGAAAGTAGGGAAGATCCTGGTCATTAACGATGTACAATCTAATTTGATGTATTTGAAAAAAGGGGATTTTATCTGCATTCAATCCCATCATCCATTTCTAGACCCACACACAGACAGTTAATCAAATAAAAAACAGACAAAATAGCCAATGAAACTAACATTGAAATCATTATAACGTGAGTGACGTGAAAAAACAGCTTTGTAGAGTGATTGGTACCCAGAAACAGTAGCGCCAGTGCCAAGTCGAAGTAATATAGCAAGAGAGGCTCCCAGAACGTCGAAGAGCTTATCGCGCCTAACCCTAAAAGGCTTGGGCTGCGGTGCCTTGAAATTCGACGGCCCCGAAAGGGAAGTCTCCAATTTGGGCTCCCTTGACCCGGATCCCATGGGGTTTCCCGAGGATGAGTTACAATAAAACAGTAATCTCTTTCTCCGGTAGTTTGATACTGCTTTCCGGGATGAAGGTGGCCGTAGAATTGGGGATGGGGATAGGTTCAGAGCGCTGTACATGGCTCTCCCGTGAAGCTCCGGCCAGAAATGGTTGGGAATCAGAGGTGTAGTGGACGGGGTGCTTGCTTGGATTCGTCATAAAACACGTCGTGCTCCGTATTTGGATTATGGTAGATTTGTAACCCAATTAAAATTTAATTTGTACCCCGCAGTTTTGCACCAACATTTGTGTCCGTTTGTGCAAACGGACACAAATGGGGTATATTTGTTGGTGTAAGTGTAGCATGGTCCTTTTTTTTCAATTTTCATTATTCATTTTATAAAGTGTTCTATAATATTTTTTCGTCTTATAGTTATCTTTTTTTTATTTTTATGTTTTACATGTTTCAAAATTTTATTTCATTTTCTTTCTTAGAAAAAATATTTTATGACATATATTTTATTACTTTTCTCAACATAAATTACAATCATACCATTTAAATTTAACTTAATTATGGAGTAAAATCGTGTTGGTCAAAGTTCGAATGAAACACAAGCAGAGAGAGTTAAGGATTATACTTTTGTTTTGACACAATGCAACGCCACGATTTGGCATTGTATGTTAACGTTTCAAGGTATTTTGGTTATTATATATTGACACATTTTAGCATTATATATAACTCTTATATTGGTAAAAAAATCATCTTTGGATATGTAGGAGTTGTACATGGCTCCGTGGTTAACTGCTTGTTTTTTACACCGTACAATGTACGGAGTATTATTCAAAAATAATAAAGTTTTTTAGTATATACGTAGTATTTTTCTAAATATATGTGATGATTTTATTTTTGGTCACTTTATATAAATATATGTGATAATTTTATTTTTGGTCACTTTATATAAATTACCATGCGAGTAATGGTTAAGTGTAAACTTTTAATAATAAAAACTTCTTGCTTCCCATGACATTGGGAATCAATGTTATGAAATGACCCGAGAGTGTTCCGGTGCTTCATTTGTAAAATTGACAGTTCCTAACCCCTAACTCTCCAAGTAAACCCTCACACCTCGCCCCGAACCGAACACACCTTCACCCCCTTTAATTGCACCCCCAAATTAATTTTAAGGGAGACCGGTGGTTAATCCAACCTTGCCCACATGTAATTAATTTCAGTTGCACCCCCAAACTAATTTTGGCATCGGCCCATAGACTTCTCGGCAATAGCAGTCGAGATTTGAAACGATACGTGCACGGCAATGCCAACGGCGATTGGAAAAGCATAGAAATGAGTGGTCACGAGTAGGTTTAGGTCTCTAATTTCCGATTGAAAAAACAATTGAAAAAATAGTTAGGGAACACAGCCGCTATCAAAATACATATATGGGCCAACTTCAAAACGGGTAATGAAGCTCTTCAAATTTCGACTCACTGACTAACGGCCAAACCACTCATACCAGCATTCTTGCACAAAGTGTACTATTAGTCTTTGAATGCAAGAGAAGAGTAATGGAGTAGTGTGATGGGTTAACAAAATTTTATAGGAAGAAAAGTGATCCTCTTGCCCTAACATCTCAATTTATAAACGAATCAAAAATTAACAAGTAAATGACCTCGAAATAATGTGTGCATCGCAATTTGCAGACACCACTCCAGAAAAAGCAAAAAGCAAAGAACTAGAAAACAGCATATAGCTTCAAATCACAACAAAACCAAACAAGAGTTGATCGTGAACAAAATAGAGAAATTCTGTTAAAGCAACAATGTCTCGGAAGATTGTAGTACAAGTGTTCTTGCTACCAACTTGCAGAAAACAAAAAACTCAGGTTTCCCTGAACCGATTGGAGAGCTTTAACAACTTATCGAAGAATACAATCCCCCAAATTAAAAGACTCGAACAGGCCTTCCCATTGTAGTCTTAAGATAGAGGCACCTCACCTGTTTGGCAGAGAAATCAAATACTGAATTAATAAGAGAGACCAAGTGCAATAACGCATGTATAGTAATGATAGCAAACTTGTCATGAAAACATCAGGTGGGTGTAGGAGTATTTTTAGGTTTAGAGGGCGGGAAATGCTTTCCCTTCTCATCCAGAAGTAAAGAGTGGAAGGTTGCAAATGCTTTTTGTTCAATTCATAAAACTACAGAATCTACAAAGGTTTTAAATATATTGGAGAACAGACAAACTTGTTATAAAAAACATTATTTCAGTTTTGACAAAAAAAACCCACATTTTGTATCCTATATATGGGGGAAGGGGGAGAGATGCAAAAACAAAACAAAAACTTCTTTCAAGTAAACTTACATTTTGCCAATTCTTCTTCAGCAATGACACCAGAAAGTTCACGCTCATTTGAACATTCTGGAATATCTGCTTTTCTTCCATGGCTACATTCCCAACTGCAACGCCCATACAAAGGACCTTCTTGAGCTGAAATTTCACAGTAGCCTTTGTTTCATTTAATTTTGTCTCCAAGGACTCCTGATGTGTCACCAAGGTAGGAAACTTGCCTGGTATCATTAGAGAGATAATTTGATTCAGAAATCCAACACATCGCTACAGCAGGCTAGGTGTGAGGTTTTAGATGGAAATGTAAAAGGGCGGTGGTTTTATTTTAACTTAAAGAGAAATATGCACCAGTACAGATAGCGACAAGCAATGACTATGATATCAAGATTATACTATCTAATGATTACATAGTTCTTATAATGAAAATAATCTCGCCTAGCACATTTCTCCTTGTGTGAAAAGTTTTCAACTTCCCATCCAAAACACACTTCAAAATATAACTTTCAATCATGTCATACAAGAGCATCTACTAGGAATTCACATGGGATGCTTTAATTCAATCACTCATTAGTAAAATGGAATTAAAAAAGAACTCATTATATACATGCCTGCCTTGTTAAGACCAGGGCCTAAGAGACGAGGGATTTGCTTGATAACAGCTTCAGATGCCAAGAAAGCATGGGAGCTCTTGGCAAGCTTCTTTACAAGCTTTTTGTTTTTGTTGAGTTTCTTCAGACTTTCAACGTCCATAAACTCCATGCCAATTTTCTCAGCCTACAGTATAAACATGGCAAAACATGATCATTAATTATTATACTAATACATACTTACATCTACAGACTGATCGCAGTAACAGATAATTCAATAACCAGGGACAACTCTACTAATCATGTTAGTTATGAAAACTGCCAATATACAGCTAAAAATTAAATTTTGTTCATTAAGAGAGTTTTTCTCAAAAAGAGAAAATTATACAAAACAAAGACTTAAAAACAAAAGACAAAGGAGTCACTGCAAAGATTGAAATGAATATCAAAAACAAATGGAAAATACCTCTTCCACATGCTGGGCATCACCAAGCATGCACACCTTCATCTTAGGGCGGGGAATGTGGGGTAATTTCACAGAACCACTGAAACGCTTATCCTTTTGAGGGTCATAGTTCTTCAAACCAATTTGAAGCTCAATGGTTTCAGTAAATTTCCGGTTTTTCTCCTTTGAATCAGCCATTATTTGGGTGATTGCCTCTCTCACAGCATCACTTTGCAACTTACTGGAGATTAAACAATGCAGAAACGATAGCATTACACCATATCATGCAGATTGCAGAAACACGCACTTGAAAATTTGTTGAAAAACAGCGATCTAACTAATATTGGGCGTAAAATCTTTTTCTTAATGCGCTACACAGAATACTCAAGCTAACAAGCAACAAAGGCATCGAATGTAAATTAAACGCCATTTTCGTTCATTAAACACAAATCGAGTTTTTAAAAAAAATCATTAATTTCACTCGGTGATGCAGAAAACCAACCTCATGGCGACGGAATGCTTTTCTGCCCCTTCTACAGATCTGCATTAATCGAATCGGAGGGAGAAACGAAGGGTTAGCGATTCATAATCACATACAAATACGCATCAAATGAAATACATAATTGAACATTGAACATAACGCTAATGAGCTATAGAGAGAAACATCGGACCTGAAATGGCGAGTGAGAGAGAGAGGGAGGGGTTGCGCAGAGCACAACTTGAGCAGCTATAATAAGCTAGGGTTTTGTTAGAATGGGGACTTTGGGCCGGCCAGCCAGCTAGGGTTTCTTGAGTTCAGGACATTGGGCCGTATGTCCACCAGTTGTCTAATCTTATCCTCCGAAGTTCCAAAGTTCAGGACATTGGGCCGTATGGAAAAAATAGAGTTCCAAAGTTTAAGATAATTTTTAAAATTCAATAACTTCTGATTACCTATGTAGTTTTTTATAATTGAGATTTACTCCGTACTATTTAGGTAGTCTTTCGTAAATATTATTACTCAAATGATGATTATTTAAAAAGTTTTTTAATATTTCTATCATCTAAATTTAAAATATATTCTCGAAATGATAATTTCTACTCTCTCCGTCCGGAAATATTCTTCTCATTTTCCTTTTTGATCTGTCCGGAAATATTCTTCACATTTCCTTTTTTAGTATATTTTTTAAGGCTAAATATCAATAATACTCTTCTATTTTATCACAAATCTACTTTTTTAGTACTTTTTTTAATAATAAAAGGAGATTTAAAAGTTTATGGTATGTGCATTTTTGAAAATTTTGCATTTTTTTCACTATTCCTTAATAAGCGTGACAAGTCAACACGGGAAGAACATTTCCGGACGGAGGGAGTATATAATTATATGTAAATTAAAAACGCAATGACTATACATAATCCATGAACTATAAAAAATCTATAAAAAATCTTTTAAAATCTGAATCAAATATACGTCTTTAATTACAAAAAAACCTTTTAGAAAATTACCTTATTAGAAATATCATTTTAAGAACTTATTCTAAATTTAGCAAATAAAAATATACCAAAAGACCTTCAATTATTCATCATTTAAGCAACATTATTTACGAACGACTATACAGAAAATAAATTTCAATTATAGAGGACACTGTAGGTAATTTAAACTTATTGATGACTGATTTGGAAAAATACTTTATTAATAAGGACCATTTCGAGAATTTATTCTAGAAAAAAACAATCATGTTGATGGTGTAAAACCATCCAATTTTAAGTCTAAATAAGCGAAGGGCTGTAGGTGGAAACACTTGTAACTCAGTTTGTTATTAATGATACTGGGACTATTTACAAGTTTACAAGCCGTGTGGATTATTCAAAGCATGCCCTCTTAGTGAGGTTTTTTTTCCTATTTATAAGAATAACAAGCACGTCTCAACATTACTGTTCATTCGGCCGGTCAGTCTTCAACCGGAAAGTTTGCGTATCTTCAACGGATGAAGTCATTCTTTCAATTCTGAACCCTTTCATATCCGCCCGGTCAGACTACACGGGTTGACCATGTCTTGAGGGACCAGACTTAGGTACCTCCCAGGCGGTTGCGAACCTGCCGGGTGGTATCGATGGGTTATACCCATCAAGGAGTCATCTGATTCCCGGCTCTGTGGGCACCATCAGGGCGGGAAGCAAATAGCTGAGTAATTTTTTGAATTTTAAATTTTTCGAGCGAAGTTAGCGGGAAAATTTTCTGAAAACCGGCGCCGAATATTTTTGAATTTTGAAATCCCGGGTGCGGATGGCGGGAAAAGCTTTATGGAAATCCGGTACGACACCGCCAAGTTGTTGCGTTGTTTCCCCTTCCGGAGAGGTTATCAGTACTAATCATTCTGGCTGCCATGTGTTGTTTCCTTATTGGCCCTGCTAGGCGGCACATTCTCTTGTATAAGGTGCGGTTCCCCACCGAATTTCTTCACTTGCAACTTGCTATCTAAAAAACTGCCCGGTCGAATCAACTGTTTCTTAAGTCCTCCGAGCCTTCCTAGTTCCAACTAAGTTTTCTTCCCCTTCTCTTCACTTCATTCCATCATATATGAGAACGAGGACAGCCAGAACATTTCTGTTCATTCCTAAGATTCTGGCGCCTGGTCTCAAGCCTCCAGTTCCCATTCATCCCCTTCTTCTCCTAAGCCCAGTCAGTGCCCGACTTCTCTTAACCAGGAGAAGTCGGTGGATGCTGCCACCTCTGCCCCTTCTTCGTTAGCAGCTCAGGTGGTTATTGTAGCCTGTTTTGTGGATGGGGGCTATATCTTGTTGGATGACCGGTTGCTCAAGAGCTCCAGTCAACCATGCAGAAAGTTCAAGTTCACGAGCTTCGTAACCTCCTGCCGGAGGGTTACCAATTGTCAATACCTGGCTACGTGGAGGAACATCATGTCCCCCTATACCAGTACGACCATAGGGATCCACTACCTTTTTCTTTTTCACTTTCTCTCCACCCCATTTTCTTTCTCTTTATTTTCTTTTTTCATTGAAACAAATGCTTACTCGAGATAGAAGCGAAGTATTTTGCTTCCATTCTCTACTTCGTTTTTGTTCTCTCCTTCCTTGCTTTACTTTGGATCTTTCATTTTTGTTCTCTCCTTTGTTGCTTTACGACGATAGTGGGGGAAAGCTTTTTCCGCTACTTGGCTTTGGAATAATCCTTTGACTTTTAAAAATCAAAATAAACCCTAACAAATTTTGACAATACATTGAGTTAAAAGTTATCGAAATTTATGTAGAATTAGAATAATCCATAAATCTAATATTATCCATAGACTATGAAAAATCTAACATAATGGCGGATTGGAAGAGTCAGAGCACAGTTCAAGGACACTCTAAAGATGTCCTTGAACTTTGGATTGCTAAAGAGCACATAATGGCGGATTGCTAAAGATGTGATTTTTTTGTATGGCCATCGATTTGTTAGAAAAAATAATAATACAGAGTGTTAGAATCTATCAAAATCTCTTTATGATAAAAATCTTTCTAAATCTTTGAATTGTTTAATACTCCGTATCATTGTATTTTGATAAACATTTTAATTTAAATTGAATATTCTAAAATCACTTTTTTTTGAATGCTATTGACTCTACTACAATGTAGTTTATGTTCACTAATATCTCCATCTAATGATGCAAGAGTTATCGCCTCTGCATTCGTAAATTCGTAAATATGGCAGATGGAAAATAATACGTGGCTCGGCCCACATTTTCCAATTATTTAAGAAAAACCGTCAAACTGGGCATGTTTAATAAAATGGAGGAATAAGAGATCATTCCCCCTGTAGATGCTCCTGCTGGCTACTACTCCTATAAAAGAAGCATTACTTCACCAAGAGGGTGGGGGGGTGGGGCTCACTCAATTTACTCCCTCTCCCTGCACACTTCTCTCTCTCTCTCTATAGAATATGTGTACTATATTTTCTTCTTCTTCAAGAGCTAAAATGCTCCATTAATAGCTTCTAAGCCCAAATCATGTACCGTGTACCCACCCTCGATATTAATAAAAATCCATCGTTGGCAAGGTACTGCAAAAAAAGGCATGTGATTTTCTTCCGATTTGGGTTTCCACGTCAAAATCCTTGTTTTTATTTTTTGGTGTATTTTTTAGACTAGTTTATCATTTCTTCCGGCTAAAAACGATATACCGGTCGATAATTTACACCATCAAGGGCAATTCACGTTTAGGTCTAGATCGAAAAAACCGACCAAACTAAATCGCTCGGTCTAGATCGAATGGATTTCGGGCCGGTCTTCGGTCCAAAAAATTGAAGAGTTCGGGTTTCGGTCCGATCCGGTCCAAACCCGAAATGATTTAGGTGCGGACCGATTGGACCAAATGGACATAATAATGCTATTGGACCTAAATACGTAAACTTTACTTTTTTAAGCTTCGTGATACACTTTGATGCTTAACTTAAATAGATATTTTAATTTATTTACTTAAAATAGTTTTTGTTAAGAAATTTAAAAAAAAAGTTCAAAAAAAGTTTCGCATTAGTTATTATTATTCTACATAGTAGTCCATGTTGTGTATCTATTTTTAGGTTGTCTATTTTTTTCCTATTTGTATGCTACAAAAATATTAAAAATACATTTTTATTTGGTCTAATCGTTCTGGCCTGGTTTTGTCCTAAGTATTTCGACCCGGTCCGATCCAAACACAAATAGCTTTAGGTCTGGTCTTATGTCCATTAATAGAAGCTATTAATGGAGCATTTTAGCTCTTGAAGAAGAAGAAAATATAGACACCCCTATTCACAAGGACATGTGAATTGCCTCGATGATTCTTAGGGAATGAGCTTCATACCGCTCAAATCATTGTGGTGAATTTCCTAAATGATTCAGTTCCTAGATTGAATAGACTTAGGCAGCGTTCTATTCAACTTATTTTTTCTGTTTATTACTTAGTTTTATTATTATCAGATCAGATCAAACTAGATCACATCAGAGGCTACCGGATCAGATAAAAAACAACTTTAATAATAATTGTAATTAGATCAGATTAAACCAAATCATATCAGACGAGACCATATTAAATTATCAGATCTTCAAAAAACAGACAAGATCAGGCAACAAAAAGTCGCCTTAATCCAACTTAGGCTGTGTTTAGTTGGAGGTAGGTGAAGGTAGGGTGAGGTTAAGTTTAAAAAGTACTTTGTTTGGGGAATCAAATCGAGGAAGGTAAACGAAGGTCAAGGGAGGTAGCCTAGCCGCGTAACAGTGAAAAAAATTCGCCTGCCGATTCTCCGGTCATTCGAGGTAAATTTTGCGTTTCCCTTCCATGCCCTTCTCTTTATTTCTCTTCCGTTATTTTTCTTTCTTCCACTCCAGGGGATCTTCTTCTTCTTCTTCCATCTTCGGATCTCACAACTTACCATTCGTTTTCTTTCTTTTTTTTTGCTTTCAATCTGTTTCGTTTTCTTTTTCCGTGCTTTTTGTTTATTATGTTTATGGTTTTTTTATGCTTATGTTTTTGTTGTTTTCTTCAATTTTGTTTTTCATTTTTTTCTGTTTTTTAAGTTTATTTTTCTGTTTTTCAAGTATATTTTTTTAAAGTTTTTTTTCAATTTTCTATTTTGTTTTCAGTTTTTTTTGTTTTTAAGTTTATTTTTTTCTGTTTTTTTAATGGATGACGGCTGGATGTATGAAAGTTTTTCAATGTGTTTTGGAGAAGCAAAGAATCAAAAATACTCAGGGGTATTTGGATAATTTTTGTGTTCTTACATTACATTACCTACTAAATTTCTAAATATAATTTTTTAACTTCTTACGTTACCTTCAATTAGCTAATTGATAAAACTTTACCATATATCCAGCCAAACGTAGTCTTAAAATTGATAAACCAGTGCGCAAGGGTAGTGAGGCATCAACCCTTGTTTTCCAGTCTCCACTGTGGTTACTGGTTAGCTACCAAAACGCACTCACCCCCAATCTCCATTGCTGCTTATGCTTCAAAACCAAAATTGCTGTTATCGTTCCCAAATCTCCCAAAGGCCCTAGACGTTCCAAGAAACTCAATCTCTAATTATCCAGGTGCCCCCCCCATCTCTTCTCTATGTACACGTTCTAGGTTTACTCATCCCATTTTTTCCCCTTAAGTCTGGCTTTCTGCTACATTTTTCTGCAGTTAGGAAGTTTCTCAGTCGCATTCTTCGAGATTCATTTTGAAACTAGTCACTTATTACTCTGTGTGCCGTGTGGGTTTTCTACCCTTTTTCATTATCAGGTGCCGAAGGAGAATTCAAAATTTTGGACAACAAATCTTAGAAATACAAGGGTCCCTGCGCATTTGCCTGGACATTGTTATTATTACTATACTCCGTAATATAAAGTCTAAGGTTTGGGGTTTCGTCTGGAATGGCTGCTTGTACTTCAACATGCTCTATAACCTCTGATACTTGGTGCCGAAGGGGGGGACTGACTGTTCTTGGAGGGAGAGATAGCCCTTTGAAAAGGCTCAATGAAAAGAATGGGTCTTTGAGTTTGGATGCTTGTAGAAAGAGCGGTTTGAATTGGTCATTGTTTAAGTGTTCTGCCAATTTGAATAGTTCACCCAATGCCCGCAGTGCGAACCAGTATCAGAGTAAAGACCCATTTCTGAACCTGCATCCTGAGATTTCAATGCTTCGAGGTGAAGGGAACAATAAAATAGCGACCCCGAGACAGGAAAATGGGATTGAAAATGTCACAGAGAGCTTAAAAGATTTGTCAAACGCGAGTAATTACAATGAGGCTAAGATCAAGGTTGTGGGAGTTGGTGGTGGCGGGTCAAATGCAGTCAATCGGATGATAGAAAGCTCCATGAACGGGGTGGAGTTCTGGATTGTTAACACCGATATACAAGCTATGAGGATGTCGCCTGTGTTTTCTGAGCATCGGTTGCAAATTGGCCAGGAGCTCACTAGAGGACTTGGAGCTGGTGGGAACCCGGACATTGGAATGAATGCTGCCAAGGAAAGTAAGGAGGCCATTGAGGAAGCAGTTTACGGTGCTGATATGGTCTTTGTTACCGTAAGTCCCACCTCTATATTTGAAACTTTTTAATAGATGAGATTATATTTAACATTTTAACCATATAGTCCCTGCTAACTGTCTTTGAATTCCGGTTTAAGAAAGATCTGGATGATATTAATACGGTTTAATTATCTTTATTATGCATGGTCTCTGAGGTCTGTGCCTGTAGAGTGTATACATTAACTCAAAGTTCTATTGCTTGTTTGGCCAGACATATTTTTTAGTTGACCTTCTCAAATTATAAGATAGGACAAATAATAAGCATAGAAAATGGGCTTTCAGGCCAAGATAATTGTAAGAATCATCTTTTTCAAGGACTCCATTTATCGATATTTTCTTAAAGTAATCTCTTGTTGAATTAGCCATCCATTCAGCTATCCTAAAGATTTGAAAAGTTGAACTATTCATGTCAGGGCGGCAATGAAATTCATGCAAGGGCCTACAAGTATAGTAAAACCTATCAAACAATTTGTTGATACTCGCTTTAGTAATTTGTATCATATGTATATCCCTTTCACAGTTAATTAAAGATGGCTATAACTTTATTTAGATCTGGCATTACCATGTCCTTTTTGTACTCGTTTGAACTCAATACAATGTGTTTGATAGATGCTCTTTGAAAGAACATACACAGACGTGCAGGTCTGGGTACTGTTTAATTTTTTTTATTTTTTCTTTGACATGCATGATGCATGTACTTCTACCCTTCCAAACTCCAAAGTGAGCCAATCTGGTGAAATAAGTGGTAGGTCTAATCAGAGACATTTTTTGAGTAAAAGTCTGAGACATTAATTGTTCAGATAATGGTCCCATCGGGAACTTGAACTTCCAAACTTGGCTCTTTTTTCATCCCTTTCTCTCATACGGAACCTTAATTAACTATTGTATGCAGGCTGGAATGGGTGGTGGAACAGGGACTGGTGCAGCTCCTGTAATAGCAGGAACGGCAAAGTCAATGGGGATATTGACTGTTGGTATCGTCACAACCCCCTTCTCATTTGAAGGGAGAAGAAGAGCAGTTCAAGCTCAAGAAGGAATAGCTTCTTTAAGGGAAAATGTTGATACTCTGATTGTTATCCCAAATGACAAGTTGTTAACAGCTGTTTCCCCATCTACCCCCGTAACAGAAGCATTTAACCTGGCTGATGACATTCTACGTCAAGGTGTTCGTGGCATCTCTGATATAATAACGGTATGTGTGTTGGAATGTTATCATCTGAAATGAATCACCAATTTTGGCTATATCTTCCATTCTTGAAACTGAGTGCATTGCTATGAATTTCCAGGCTTAGCTGGGTTTTGTTTTTCACTAATGTTGTTGTTAATATCAGGGAACTAGTTATGGGGATATTGTTATTTACATGTCTAATTTGCCACAGTAACAAAGTTAGCCCCTAGTTGGAAGCTATAGAGGCCAGACTGATCCTTCACATTATGGAAAACATTTTCTTCTTGATTTTAGTATATGAAAATATTTTTTAATAATCTTTGAGGGGTAACTTTATAAAAAATAATGAGCTTTTGAAGCCATTGAAGTGTTTCTGTTCGGACCATCTTAACACAATTGAAGGCCATTTCTTCCCCCAGAACTCCCAAAGAATTTTAATTTTTTTTGGTGGGTGGGGTTTCAAACTTTGGTGAGGGAGTTGGAGGGGAACCACCAAGTTACTCCTAATACCCAAAGAATTTCCTATTAACAATCCCACATTCCCATTCAATCTGAGTAATTGTATACCAATTCATCAATGATGATTCCTGAAAGAAGCTGCGGTTTGAGCCAAACTATCATAACACAAAAATGAAACTTAATGCAAAATGTGGGTTGGTATAGTGGTGTCATTTGGAGTGGCTGGCACAGAAATGCCTGAGTAATTATTCCTCCAAAATCTCAACACTTTTCAAATCTATGCATGAATCCTTGACTTGAATCCCACTCACAATCTGAGCAATGAAGTAACTGAGTAAAGTTTTAGACCACATAATCAATGATTCTTTTATAAGATGCTTTCATAAGACTATAAGAACAAAAAAAGAAATTTAGTGTATATTGCATGGTAGACCGGCAGTCTGATTTGAAGTGGCTGACATAAATACAGCTTACATTAATTGCCCAAAAACTCAGAACCATTCAAATCTATGCTTGGGATTGTTTGGTCAAAGGAGAAATGAAAGACGCGGGAAATAATTTTCTTACAAAGGTGGAAGGGAAACAACATACTTCGGTGCTCTTGAGTTTAGTAATCGTAATGTTTCTTGTTATTTTGGGATGCACAAGCACTTATAAATCAATGAAGGGAGAGTTATATTTATTGACTAACAAAAGTTTGGGAGAAGTGTTGTCGAGACTTAGGAACTGTTAGGTACATCAAGGACAAGGTTGAGTGGGTTTTGGTTAAAGACAAGGTGGAGTGGGTTTTGTTTTAAGATAAGGACAATAAAAAGAGATGCGGTAGTAATTTTTGTAAGTTGTCTAATGGGGCTAGGAAGAGGGAATTTGCATATGAGGGAGTAGGAGAGCAGCACTGCTTGTTACATATCATCAAGGAGGGGGTGGGGGTGGGGGTGGGGGTAGTACTAAAGCGGGCAGGAAGGGATAAGGTCGCAGGTCCAGATTAGACTCCCATCAAGGTGTGCTGGTGCTTGGGTAAGGAAGGAGTGCAATGGTTGACGGATCTTTTTAACATCATCCTCAATACTCCCAAGATGTCTTAGGAGTGAAGGCTTAGCATGATGATGACACTATATATATATACATACATATATATATATGATTATATGAATAAACGTGACACCTAGTATCACGGTAATTACCACGACATTTAGTTACAGAACCACACTATGAAACTTAAGTTGTGATTGATGGAGTCCCCGGCATGATGAGTGACAGAGGTGAGTGAGAACCGGTTTCGTTTCATGCTGGGAAGGTGTACGTTTGATGCAATTCATACTCTCTAAGGTGCCTCATCCTGAAGCATAGAGAGCCTTGCAAGGACATGCCTATGGTATTAATAGACTTGGAGAATGCCTGTGGCAGTGTTCCTCGAGAAGTTATTTGACGGAGTTTGGATATGGTGGGGTGCCTCAGTAATATGTGAAGGCAATACAAATTATGTAGCTGTGGGTTAGAATGTAGGCGAAGACTCCTGCAGGGGGTACAAATTCTCCCCAGTTAAAAGTTAGGTTACACCAAGGATCTGCATTGAATTCTCTTTGTCATGATTTTAAAGTTATTTCCAAGAGATCTGAGAAAGGATCTTGTGGTTTTTACTATTTGTAGACGACATTGCGCTTGCAGTGGAGACTTGTGACGAGGCAGGGGGTAAACATGAAGCTTAAACAGTGGAGTTCGACAGTGGAAGCACATGACTTGCATATTAGCCACTCTAGGAGTGGGTGCCTGTTGTGGAGATTTATCGTGAAGAAAAATGAGGAGGATGTTGTGGTAAGCATTGGGGATCATAGGATACAACAATAGGACAACCTCAGGTATTTGCGACCTATCATCCAAATGGAGGGAGAGATCAAAGACGACCGTACCGTATCAAGGCATGATGGTTAAAATGGAGGGTCGCCTCTAGGGTTTATGTAATAAGGTCCCGTTGGAATTCATAGGTAGATTCTATGTTTCGACCAGCTATGATGTATGAGTAGTGTTAAACATTTAAGAAGCCCTTTGAGTGTGAGCTTAAGTTGTGGATATAAAGGATATTGCGGTGGATTTGTGCTCTTACCTTTTTGGACATGATAACGAGATGAGATGACATCAGTAAAAAGAGTAGAAAGTGTTTCATAGAGGGGACCAAGAGAAGAGGCAGGCCACACATGATATGGTATGAGCACTTGAGGTAAGGCTTGACAGTCCTGCAGTTCTCCTCTGATAAGAGTTTTTTGATATGACATATTAGGTCTGTATAGTCCATTTAGGGGCAATGCGAGTGTTGCAGATGCCTCTGTGTGTGTGTGTGTTATTTTTACCACTTTTTACACTACGGTCATGGTTCGTCAGGGTCCTCTTGGAAACAACCTCTCGATTCCTTGGAGGAAAGCTATATGCCTATATGGCCTATGTAAACTCTCAAGAGAGATATACTGGGTTTGTTTGATTCAGTTTGGTATGAGTCTGAACTAAACATGTTTGTGTGTTTTTACACTTATATTTATGGTTACTATTGCTTTGTTAGAACTTTTTATGCATCTTTTTGTTAAGTTAATTGATTTTCTTTTCCAATACACCTGGCTTTTATATACTCCATAGTTGAACTTCAATTTATTATGAATCCTAATGAGCTGCAAAATTGCAGATCCCGGGATTAGTAAATGTAGATTTTGCTGATGTACGTGCTATAATGGAAAATGCTGGTTCCTCGTTAATGGGGATAGGAACTGCAACTGGTATGTTCTTGAAGCTCTGGTACCCCGGTTCATTTTAGCAGGAGAATGTTAGCTATTGCTGACTCATTGCTTTTATCTTACTTTGTAATACTTTGAATTTTGGACTTCATTTAGATTTGAAGTTATTACAATCATCAAAATATGTTATTTCTATTACGGAGTATTATTCTAAATCGAGTTCTGATGACAGCTACAATTAAGCAAAAGGTGACATTATAGTCTTGTTGATACACAGGGAAGACCAGAGCGAGAGATGCTGCATTAAATGCCATTCAGTCACCATTGTTAGATATTGGTATTGAGAGGGCTACTGGAATTGTGTGGAATATTACTGGTGGCACTGACTTAACGTTGTTTGAGGTACTTCTATCCCTTCCACGCCTTTGCTGATGCAGTATATTTCATTTGAAGGCATGTTATGAAGTTAACATTTGCATTCATTGTACACACGAAACAAGACGACATAATTTACTGATGGTGCAATTGTTTGAAAGCTTTGGCAGCCTGAATCTTGCATATTGGCTTACCTAACATGCATTACCAAATTTTTGAAAATAAATTTAGGATCTAACAGATCAAAGGTTTGATAAAACAGACCTTTGTCTTCATCATGTAGCCAAGGCGGCTAAACTCCACTATATACAAGATGATGTGCCGGTGCTTAACAGAAAAATAGAATTACCTCAGGACAAATGAGGAAGCCCTCCCCCACACACACAAAAAGGCACAACTAAAAGAAATAAGAAAATGAAACTTGGAATGCTGTTTCAATCCATGTCATTGTCCAGCAAGTACATGGGCACAAGCCGGGAGATTAATCCCTGCAAAGCCTCTGCCATTAGGGGATGGCCTTGAGATGCCATGAAGCATTTCAGTTGAAAGTTTCTAATGATCCCTGCAAAGCCTTTGCTGTTATTACTTGTGAAAGAAGCGGAGGGGACCTGTCATTTTCCCACCTTTACTTGCATTTTATGAACATAGTTGTCAAGGAAAATAGAGATGCTAGCCCACAGTGTATTTGATTGGAGGAGCTCCAGTTAATGTATTGTGTGTTGATGCAGTGAGAGATGTGCTCCAGTGCACCTCCATTCAATGTGTTGTGTGTTGATGTATTAAAGAAACATTTGACCACCTGCCCATTACGTAGAGCTTTTTCATGAAATAATAATGGATAATGACGAGTTTCTTTACATTCTTTAAGGTGTTCAAATATGTCTAGAGTGACACTTTAGGCTTTGGGTTTGTTGTTCAGGCTGTTTTTTTTCTTTCGAGTTGTATTCTGCTACATTTGGTTTCTGTTGGTGATGCATACATGCTTGCATTTTGGTTAAGAAAATAGGTGTTCAAAGTTAATGTGGGAAAGGATAATCTTTGGAAATCAAAATCTGCATCTAAAATCTCTAGGCCAGCCAGAATAACATTTGAATATGTCAACCACCTACCTGGGTGGAAATACTGCATTTTTATTGCCTATTCAACTGAGGATTATCCAAAGGTCTGAAATTCTCAAAGAGCATTATGCTCTGGCTTATTTCTTTTACTCAAGGAAGATATTCTATTGTTTGCTTTCATTTTGCTAGTTTCGGTCATCGTCTTTTTGCAAGTCCTGTTTAGCCAATACGACAAATACTTGGGGCTAATGGAATCTGGATAGGGTTGGGGCTTTTGGGCTTTTTGAATTTTTAGTTGTTTGCTTTTCAGGGTTGGTATTTTGACCTGTTTTCATGTGACATTGCGCTGTATTTTTTCTCTTTTTCTTTTATCAACAAAATTCTTCTTTTGCGCAAAAAAAACGTTTGCCCTCATTTTGTTCCCATTCAGAGGGTAAATTATTCTATGGGATGAAGGGGTTAATCCCTCAACCTCCTTCCCCACCCCAAAAAACAAGAAAAAAAATCAAAAGAAAACCCCAAGCAGAAAAAATAAATTTCCTTACGAATCCTAAGTTGGTGAAAACAATATTCTCAGCCCTATTGTTATCTTTACCCTCATTTCCCACACCAAAAGTGTCATACACACTTCAAGTGTAGGATGCCTCATTTACCACATCAAAGTTTAAGGTGCTCGAGTTTATTACTTGGATTCTTGAAGCTACAATAATGAATTAGGACATTTAAGGGTAGTGAATTGTCTTTTTGAATCACATGATCACTTTCTTATAATGCTGTCTTATTAGGTAAATGCTGCCGCAGAGGTCATATACGACCTTGTTGACCCAAGTGCCAACTTAATTTTTGGAGCAGTGGTTGATCCCTCAATAAGTGGTCAGGTATTCCCTTGTCACAATGAAGTTATCTCTCAATCCAACGGTGTCTCGTTTCCCATTAATGCACTAAGACATGCTTTGTTGAGTGAGCAATAAAGAAAAAACTGGCCATGATTCATTCTTTTTATCATTGCTTTTGTCTCCTAGGTAAGCATAACTCTAATTGCCACCGGATTCAAACGGCAAGAAGGTGATGATAAGCCGGTTGGGCAGGTTCTTGTTTCCCCTACTCTTTACTTCATGTTTTTGTCAACCAAAATGTTTTTTTTAGTGAAAGTGAAATATACGGACATGACTTTTAAATCCGTTCAGTCGATCGTGGTCCCCTACGGAGGTAACCTTAATTGGCGGCCGGACGAAGTAAGTACCTCCCACCAAGTCATCTCTAGGGGCTCAAAAACTTCTTCTTCCCTGCAAGTGCGATAGGTTCTCGAATTCACTCAGGTAAGAGGAAGTTAATAATCTTGGGACAAAGTATCTACTATCTAAAAATGTTCAAATTAGTCCTCCTTGTACTCAAAATTGAAGTAATTTAGTTACTGTACTATTTTTTTTGAATTCAATCTAGTCATTCTATTTTCTTTTACGTTTTACCCTTACCTACCGCCCCAAACTCTTAGGGATTGCACATAATTTCACTTTAGGCACATGGAAAATGTCATCGTAACATGTTGGTTCACACTTCACACTCTTTATGTAGTTACACTTTTGTTATTATACAATAAGTAATTTTATCCCTATATTTTTTCATAAAATAAAATAAATAAGCAAAATGACACGTCATTGCAAAAAGTCCGAGGCAGTATGTAAGGACACAACTCACAAAAGTAAACAGAAGGAGCATATATTAAAAAAAAGAATCATACATGGATAAAATTGCTTCAATTGTGAGTACGAAGACTAAATCGCACATTTTTAGATAGTACAGGGACTTTTATGATACTTTGTCCTATAATCTTGAACGATGCTAAGTTGCTTTCCACAATTACCCCTTGATAAGATTGCCAACTCTATATAACTGTTTCAGGATTTCACTAGCACATCGAATGGTGAGTTTAGCTCCCGGGACACGAGAGAGCACAGTGGCCATCATACAATTCTCAATGAAATTATGTGATCGTTTAAGTGGTGCGTCCCTAGTGTTTCTGGGCTATTGTTCTAGTCTAGTTCTCCGTATTATAATAATGAGCTGGACGGAAACCTTTGGGACTGAACGCGTAAGGTTTATAGCAATACAGTTTAGTCGCGCTTTTCGTGTGTACAGTGTATTTATGGGAGTAAGTATGTTTGATTCATGCTTATTAGTGCTTACTAGTTTGAACACTTCCATGGTTATGCATCATTAGGGCTTCTTGGTCATATTCTAATTCTTCTCTGCTTCTTTTGACATTCTAAGGGAGCCATTTTTACCGCAACGTGAAGCATTTTTTTATTATTTTGAATCAGAATTGCTAAAAAATGTGCATCACTTTTGCGTTATGTGGCGCGAAAACATGGCATTGTGAAAGTTACACCGCGGGGGGAATGTAACACAGTGAAATTGGATGGAAAATGGGGAGAAAGAATTGAAATGTTTGTATATTTCAATCGCACACTCTTAGTATAGTATATAAAACCTCATAATTCTTCAATGTTACTCCGTACAAAAAATGTTCAATGAATTAGAGATTTCATGTAACAAAAAACCAAAAAAAGATGTACGGATCAGGTCCATTAATCATTTAGACGTTGGGAAAATTACTCAGGTAAATTTCATCAAGAGTAGCTGAATTTTGGCAAACTTTTCAAATTAGTGCCTAAATTTCAAATCTTATCAAATAAATACCCCAACTTTACCAAACCTTTTAACAAAAATAGTTTAGCGGGCTTTTAGTTTTTAGGTCGTGTTCCGTTCGTCTGATCTGATCAGATTTTTTGATGATTTATCTGATCTGGTCAGACCAGATCTAGTCTGATCTGATTATAATAAGAATAAGTGATTAGCAGAAAAAATAAGTTGAACAGAACACTCCCTTAGTGGGTAATTTTGCTTACATAAGGTTCATTAGGTTTCGAACTCACCATTTCTTTTCTTTTTTTTCTACATTTCTTTTTCTTTTCCTTTTCTTCTTTTTCTTTATTTTTTCTTTAACCCAATGTTCAGTAACGTATTCTGATGTCAATTAGACAAACAATATAATAATAATGACTGGTTGTGAACTGGGATATTGACAATAAATCATAGCTGCAGACCATGGTTGTAATAAAGAACAATTACAATTTGCAAACAAAGCATCAAGAGTGACCTCTGAAATTGTGTATGAAAAGAAAGATACATGATCAATGTCAAATTGCACTTTTAACCATCAAATTAATATCAATATGACAGAAGATCAAAAAAGGATTATTTGTGGAAAAATATCTATAAAAGAAGAACTACGGCGTAATATTTTATAATAGAAGACTGGATATGGAAAATCTCATGTTATACAGAACCAATTAAAAAATTTACTCTAATTCTTACTACCTCCGTCCCATTTTATAACGCATGGTTCGGTTTACGATGTTTGACTGAAATTATTTTCAAACCATTTTATATGACAAATGGTATAGAATTAAAAAATAAAAATTACATATTAAAAAACTACATCAAAAGATCTACAAAACTAGTAGTGACAAGAATATTTTATTTTATCAAATTGCTAACAAAAATAGAGAAAGAAAGTGAATGAAGTTTGACCCTGTGAATAGTAAACAGACATTATAATTTGGGACGGAGGGAGTATTACTTATTCTTATTGAAAATCAGCTACAAGTTTAAATATAATTATAAACAAATGAGATTAAACACCTTTATAAAACGAGATCAGAATTAATCGGATGAGACGAAGAGAAGAAGCTCTATGTCTTATCAACCCATACTGCCCTCCTCTCCTCCCAATCTACTTTTTCATAGCGGACAAAGTATGCCTCGCCCTGCCACCAGTGGAGAGCAGAGCTTCAGAGATGCAGCGGCGTGTAAGAAGAGAAGCATGTGGCTCCCTCGCGTGCTAAAGGGCGAGCCACATGCTTTGCGAGTCGTCCGCGAGGCAAAACCAAACCTAATCGACGTCCGTGAGGTTGAATAGCGGCTCAAGCCCGACTAGCCATTGCAAGAGATGGAACTCCATTCTTTTCACACGATTGATTTTGATTGGTTAGAGAGTGCCACATAAATGTGTGACATTCCGTTGCAAACTTGCCATTGTTTGGTTTCTTTCAGCGTGACACAGAAAGACTGGAGAGTTGGGGCCGTGCAAATTGCTAACAACAACACACCACCCCCACCCCCTAACTAGCCCATGTATGTAACCCATCTCTCTTTCTCTTTTTTCTTATCGGTATTCCAAAATGCACTATACATGTGAGAGATAAATAATACATTTTAGAGTTCCAATAACAACAAAATGGTGATAAAATGGGACTTATTGCCAAGTAGATATACTAGTTTGACTATATTTATATTTTTAATAAACTAAAAACCATGTTTTTTTAAAAGATTAATAACTCTATTACATGTTAGTCCTTGAGTTCATAGAGTTATTGTCCCACTGGAGATCGAACACATGACCTCTTATTTGAGAAAGTCATAGTGGTGTCATTGGACTACGAAACCGTATTTTTAATATTTATGAAGAACAAAAAGAAACAAGAATTGAGGACTTCAATTCCAATTCAGTTGTTTGGTAGCACAAGAATATATAGATTTGGAATTGGTAATGAAAAAATGACTTGGAATTGAAATATTCTATTCTATCCAATTCGATTATATATAATTACAATTCTAATTCTGTCAATTCCGTATACCAAACAGACCTTTAAAAAAATTGTAGAGTAATTTGGAGTGAATAAAAAAACACCCATACAACGTGATGTAAAATGAGATGAAGGGAGCAGAATTTTCAGCCAGTACAAATTTTAAGTTTTAGGCCCCGTTTGGTACACGGAATTCAAATTATGGAATTGGAATTGAGGTCTTCCATTCCAATTCTCATGTTTGGTAGCACAAAAATTATGTGGATTTGGAATTGATAGTGCAAAAAATGAATAGAAATTGGTAGAATTCAATTCTATGGAATTGAATCCAATGGAATTTCAATTCCAATTCAATTCCAATTCCGTCAATTCCGTATACCAAACGGACCCTTAAAGAATTGAAGAAATTGTACATTAGGTTTCACACCACTCATTTTAGTATTCTCTACTAGTGATGAGCATAAAGACTAGAATCGAAAAGATTCGTCGGGATTATTGGGATTAGGACTAGAAAAGATGGGACCGAAGCGGTTCTTGAGACCGGTCCAGTCTTGGATCGAAAGTCTCAGTTGATCCTTGATTTTTTATGAAAGACTAGACCGGTCACGAACCGGGTAGTCTTTTTCGAAAAATTAGATCGGAATCGGACTAAGATTAGAGATTTAATGTATTTAAAATATAATTTTTACGAATGTATATTTGTACTTTAAATTTAATTTTACATAAATATATTTATCCCATAAGCGTAAAGCATAGTACTTACATAGTTATTTTTAGGAATCTACAAATAAGTGATAACAAAAAAATCTCATTTATATAAAACATACATATTAAAATTTAATTTATCATTGATTCTATCCAAATTCCATCTCGCATAATAATATTCATGTTGCATAATTTTTATAAATCAATAAAATATATAAAAAATTAAATAATCAAAAATGATTTTTTTTTTGTTTTTTTACGATTATTTTTTTTGGAGAACAAAAATTAAGAATTTTATATACTAAGGGCCGGGCCCGACTTGGACCATTCATAATGGGACTACCTGATCCCCAAAGGTTCCTATTTTTTCACGAAGACCGGACTTGACCGATTTTTAAAAAAGACCAGACCGATCTTGTCCTAAATAGCACCGGTCTTTTCAAGAGACTAATCCGGTCCTTTTGCTCATCTTTACTCTCCTACACAATTTTAAGTAACAATGCCTTCAAAAAATTTTAATTTTGTTTCACACCACTCACTTTAGGGCATGTTTGGGAATAACGTTAGAGATTAGCGTCAGCGTTTTAAAAAAGCTATTTACGACCAGCGTTTATCGTTAGCGTTTTCAAAGTAATATGCACCGTTAAAATTTTATCCAAGATGAAATCAACGCCTTTTTTTAAACATTTAATGTAACCTTTAAATGCTCCTTTAAAACATTTAGAGTAATATTTGTTCATATATATCCTCAATCTCTTAAAACACATAGATCATGTTACTCCCCACATTGGGATTTGAACTTTTGATCAAGCAACGTGATGTCATTGGACTACAATGTCTTGAACTACTCTTTAGACTCAATTTGTTCCGAATTAATCATCTTATTTTTCTTTTTAGTCTGTCCCCAAAAATAACTATTTTACTTTTTTAGTTTATTAATGAAATAAAGAATATGTATTTCACAATCATTCTCTTTCTACCGATCAAATTTGGGCTCCTTTTTACTTTTTAATATTTTTCTTAAACACTGTGAAGTCAAACTGAGACGATTGATTTGGGTCGAAGGGAGTTTTTTTTTACTTCAAAACAAACTTTTAAAATAAATGAAATGGAATTCTAAAAAAAAAATACTTCTTAGTAACTCTAGACCTATCTCGTAGTATCTATTCAATTATAAAATCTTAATTTCTTAAATGCAAAAGTTTAGAGTGACTTCCTTATCACTATACTAACATGCTTAATACCATGTAAATTGAAATAAGAAGATTTTCATAGGAGAAAATAGTTTTAATGTAAAATGAGTAATGACACTACATAACGCATTGGAAAAATATGTTTTCAAAATATTTCCGACCTTTTGACCCTGTTTCCTCATTCTCGTTCTAGGCCCTTAAAGGTTAAAAGTATTTACGGGCCCATGTTTATGAGCCCGATACAGACCAATGGCCTCACTGTTATGCTAGGCGAGCTTTTGTTTGGACTTTGGACAAATATTCATGATACTACAAATGAGGACTCACAAGTCACAAGTATAACATATTTAAAGGGGGCTGAACTCAATTTCATGTTCCAATCTTCCAAGTCACGCTGATGATGATGATGATAATAATAAAGGGATACAGTATGTTGACACTAGCAAACAGTGTGAGTAGCGATGTTATTGCATTTTTGAAGCAGCACTTGTGATACTTCCTCGGTCCCTCATAGATCTTCCCAATAGTCCTTTTTCTTTATCCACAATAGATCTTCTCATTTCATTTTTTAACAATTAAAATACCACAACTACCCTCACTTACTTTATTTATTATACCTCACCCACCTCATTTAATACACCCCACCCATTTTTCATTAAGGGTATTGTGGTAAACTTTTACCTTTTTTCA